CTCCCCAGACTGGGGGCTGGCTGCAGCCGGGAGGCTGAAAATAGCTGTGCCAGTCTCTGGAGCCCAGGCATCAGCTCTGTACAGCCATGTGCGCCTTGGAGCGGGCAGTGGGGGAGGGGCCTGAGGCAGCGCAACCCCTGTCTTTCCCCTGCTCCCAGCACAGAGCTGGTGACTGGGCTACGGAGCCTGGCGCAGCTGTTTGAAGCCAGCCTGGGCTCTGGGCAGCTGCAGCAGGCAGGCTGCAAACAGCTGTGCTGGGTTCCACAGCTCTGGCATCAGCTTCATGCTGGCGGCAACTGTGCACGCACCTTGAGGTGTGCTGCGCTGCCCTGCTGTCTGTCCTGAGGTGCACGTGCAGTCGCCACCAGCATGGAGCTGATGACGGAGCTGTGGAGCCCTTTGCAGCCTGCCTGCTACTTGCTGCAGCTGTTGAGAGCTCAGGCTGGCTACAAACAGCTGCGCCTGGCTCCGGAGCCCAGTCACCATGTCTGTGCCAGGAGTGGGGGAGAGACTGGTGTTGCGCTGCCTCAGGACCCTCCCTCACCACCCGCTCCAAAGCTCACATGCATGCTCCAGAGCCCAGCACAGCTGTTTGCAGTCTCCTGTCTGCCACCAGCCTCAGCTCTGGGTAGCTGCTGCCAGCTGGGACACTGCAAGCCCTGCTGGGAGCAGCCCGGGGGTTCTGTCGCTGGCTGCAGCTACCCAGAGCCAGGGCCGGCCCTGGCATGCCGAGCAAAATGGCCTTGCGTGTCACGCTTGGCACTTGTGCCGGGGGTTGCTGACCACTCTGCTATACCATCACAACTTTTTAAAAATTGTCTTGCCTTTTTTTATTTAATTTAATCCCAAATTTAGTGCCAGATGTCTGTGCTCAGCATGCGGAGTAGAGAACAAGTCCATTTAATTTATATTTTGAAATATTTATCAGTCATCTTGAGTATAGGAATGAAAGTAACTACATTATATTGTTCTGATAACATCACTTATGAAAACAATCTGTGTATTTATCTTCAGAGGGAAATGATTTTAACTTATTCTTCATAAGATGTATTTTTTTTTCCTTATGGTTTAGATATAGACACATTCATATCAGACACCCTAAAAGGAGAAAATTTATCCAAGAAAGCCAAGGAAAAAAAAGAAGCTCTTCTTAAGAAGCTAAAAGATGTCAAAGCTAAGTAAGTAATCTTTGTTTTATTAATAAAATTGTTTGATGCTCCACTGGCAATGACTAATTTTAACAAAAAGTTTTAAATTTAGTTCATACTAAAAAAAAAAAAAATCGTAATGAAGTCTATAATGTTCATGTTGATTCTCATTGGTTTCAACAAAATACAGAGGTGTAGGTATTATGTTCATGTGGATCACTTTGTGGAATTTAGGCTTTGGATGTGAAGATTTTTCTTCTGATTTTAAAATGGTTCTCAGCCGCCTTGATTTTTGCATCCCACTTCAACCCCTGCAGAGCCCCGTCGTCTTGACTCTGTCTTACCCCAACCTGCCATTTATGGTTTACCTTCCTCTGAATCCACTCCATTGCAACCAGTCTCCCTCCCTCGTGGTTCCCTTGCCAAACACAGTGCAGAGACACTTGAGATAACTCTTCTAGAACATAAACAGAATAGTTGAATTTACACAGCACGGTGTTTGGCCATTTAGCTCCCCATAGTCCCATATTAGGGTACCTTGATGCTTCCTATGGCAGAGCCAGTGTACACAGAGGAGCTGGTGTGGGGAGTGTTTTGGGGGGACAGGAATTCACTCCTTCCCCCACCCTGCACACACCTCCCCAATATCTGCCCTTGTGACCTACCTGTGGCACATCTTCAGCGCACCAGCTGAAAACTGTTGTTTTAAAATATAAAGACTGGGAAAGTTTTTCAAAGATCCACATTCTCTTTGCTCTAGTTATGCATAGCTTTCATTGGACATGTCCTCAGCTGGTATAAGTCAGTGCAACTCATCCACTGATTTTTGTTTGCTTTACCTTTCTCTTGTTATCCTGTCTACACTAGGAAACTGCAACTCTTCTAAAAACAATGCTAAGAAGCAAATTTAATTTTAAACGGATGTTAAAAACTTTGAGGGTGCTGGCCTAGATTAGGAGAAGCTGTTTTATATTGTTTCAGAAAGTATGATCTGAAACTTTAATTTTACTCCCTAACTTCCTTCAAACTAGTAAGGTGATGAAAAGTTGGCTATAGTTTTAACACATGCAACTAAAGCTGTTTCTAGTGCATTATGCCTTTAAACATTGGTAAACTGTGGGGTATATTGTGCTCTTTCTTCTCCTTGATCTCTCCATATGGTTTTTATACTGATCACTTGGTCCAGCTTGATACCTAACCTTAGCTTTCATAGCCCACTCCTGCCTTTCTGGATATTCCTTTATGAATGTTAATTATATTGTAATCAGCTGGTAACGATAGTGTGCTTATTAACTGAGCCGATTCTGTGTCTTCCTCTAATCTTAGAATCTAAAAAATTTCACTTCTCTCTGATTGTTTCTGTAATGCAGGGGTGAACTCTGGTATGGGCAGCTTCTGTGTGGCACATGGTAGATCAGAGAGGGGACAGACAACACAGCAGCAGATGGGGCAGGGAGCAAAAGGAGAGAGAGGGCAGGGAGTATAGAGTAAGGAGCAGAAAGCAAACCAGAGGAAAGGGCACGCGGTGAGGGTGTGAGGCTAATTTGTGGCATGCCTACCAAAAATGATTCATAGACATTAGGGGCTGGAAAGGACCTCACGAAATCATGAGGTCCAGCCCCCCTGCGCTTGGGCAGAACAGACTGCTGGGGTCAGATGACCCTAGCAATTTGAGCATCTGGAAGTTTTTCCAAGATTTCCAGAGTAGGTGCTTGTTACCACCTCTGGGTGGAGTCTGTTCCTGACCCTAGACACTCATACTGTAAAGAAGTTTTCCTTATGTCCAATCTAAAGTGATCCTCTAGTACTTTATGACTGTTATTCTTTGTCTTCCCCTGTGGGGCCTTGGTGAATAGATGCTCCCCCAGGCCCTGATGTGCACCCCTTATATACTTATAGATTGCCACCAAGTCCCCTCTAAGCCTTCTCTTCTCCAGGCTGAACAGCGCCCTGTCTCTCAGCCTCTCCTCATGTGGCCTGCTCTCCAGACCTCTAATAATATGTGTAGCACTCCTCTGGACTCTCTCAAGCTTCTCTACATCCTTTCTGAAGTGCAGTGCCCTTCCGTGTATTTCTGTACCACTTCCTTTTCATATCTTCACGCATTTTTTTTTTCCTTCCATTCATTCCTACATCCCTACATCTTTCCCTTTTTTTTTTTTTTTTTTCTTTTCTTGGTATCTTGTCACCAACTTTATCACTATGCACAGCAGTGTAACTAGAGGGGGATGAGCAGGGAATAAGGGTTATTGCCTGTTGGAGCTTCACTTCCTTCGGGCTGGTGGGAAGGGAAAGGAGGCCCAGGGGAAAGGCTCATATAGCCAGGAGCTAAGGGTTTAATCCTTTCCCCTCCTTTTTTCTTCCATAAAATTCTGTATTTTAAGTAGCTGCTTTAACTCTAGCAGGATTGGCTTGCTTTGAGTGCACACTATATCAGTTATACCTCTGACCATGCATAAACCTGAACTCCTGGGGATAAATCTGGATCCTAGGTGATATCAGTTGTCTTTCACATTGTCTGCAGTAGGACTGGGATTTTATCTATTATCTTAATTTCTCATCTTACTGTTTACAACATTATATGTGTCACTCAAATACACAGATATATGCATGTTGGAATGATTTTGAGTCTTTCAACTAAGGCTACACACTCAGGCTGGGACCAGATATTGTTGTTCTTTCACACACAGCATTTCTTAGATCTGACCTTTATTTCTTTGTTTATATTCCTAAATTTCTCATTTAGGTTCCCCTCTGCTTTCATCTTGGTTACTAGTAACCATGTCTTTACTCCTGATGCTGCACCATTCCTTCTTGGTTACATACAACAAAGCTACCATTTTTGCTAGTCATTCTGAAAGACTGCCTTTTTTCCCCCACCAATTTGAGTAAGTTCAAACTGCTTATGATGATGACATTTTAAGTTCCACACAACTCTTCCTTTCCTTGTTTATTTTTCCTTATATTTTATTTTGCCACTCTACCTTGTAGTTGATTTAGTTCACTTGCATTGCCAGGATTGAGGCATTGAAGACCTAGCCAGGATGAAACTGATTTGCAAACCCAGTAGGCTTATCCCTCAGTATAAAACATGCTGGATATACTTATCAAGACCTATTACTATGATATTTAAGAGTTTAGACGCTGAACTTCTTAATATACAGATATCTTTTATTGTACTCCATTTTATTCATTTGCTGTTTGAAGTGCACTAGCCAAAGTATGGTGGTTCCTCTTTGACTGACCTCATTGTGTTCCTTTAAACATGGCAGAGATGGATGTAATTTGTGATAAGCAGCTTTATTTAATATTTGGGAACATAACTGAAAACTAAACAATTTTTATTATTTATGGGTCATTTTTAGCTATGCAGGTAATTGTAACTGTTACAGTATCTAAAGTAGTTATATATTGGTAGTCTTTATTTGCTGCATCCCATTAAGTGTTTTTAACATGACAGATGAAAATTCTCTCAAATTTAAAAAGTCACTGGAAGGGCTGAGTTAAATTGTTTATTATAGGACTCAAGAAAAATGTTTTCAAATTTAATGATGGAAAATTGCAATATAGATCAGCAGTAGTGGTACACTATGCATGACAAAACTGGTGTTGATGACTAATAATTTGGGCATATTTTAATTTGGTTCATACATTTGAGAATTTCTGAATGCATATTGATTTTTTTTTTTCTTTTTGTTTTCCCCCCTTCTCTTCCTCCTCTCCCCTCCCTCCCCTCCCCCACAGCTACCCCCAAGAATTCCAGGATGAAGGTAAATCAAAATACATTTTTTCCCACCATGGTCTAACTTGAATACTTTTTTGCTCACTGACAGACTCTTTATTGAGTAAACATTCCATGCATGTGTTTAAAATGATCAGTTTGTGCACTGATTGACTCTCAAGGATGAGGATGCTAGCTCCCCCTGCTGAGAAAAAAAATTAAAAGCTTCCAAAGTCTGCGCTTTGAAGTTCTTGGCCTAAAACCTTGCTCGTTGTAGTAACCAGGTTATATTCATTTCATAACATTGAAGAAACCTCCTGTAAGATTAATTCAGAAATAGAGCTGGAAATTTATACTTAATGTAAATGGAACTTCTCAAATATAGATTACTTAACAAATAAAAGGTCAATATTGTCTAAAACCATACGATGCATGTTTTCTTAGAAAGCATATGTATGTAATAACCAGATGTTAATAGAGATAAATTATTTCAAGCTGTTTCTGAATGAGTGCTACAAAAGTCTTCACTTCAACAATGATGTTTCTTTTACCTTTTAATAGGCTTATTTAATGGCTATATGATATTGGCTTTCGATCCACACTAAATGAATGTTTTTGCAGCAGAGCAAGGAAATCAGACCTTCAGCACAGGAGAAAAAGATTTAGTGTGCTAGTAATGAAAGCTGAAGTGTGGATTATGTATTGTCTTCTAGAAGAGTTAAGACAAAGCAGCAGAGTCCAGTTAGAAAGAGAAAAGACTGAGGAGTGTATAGCCACAGTGTTCTGTTCTGTAACTAAACCTGGAATGGCTCTTATTTCCATGATGCTAATTTATGAGGTCATGACCTGTAGCCTGTGGATGTTGGTATGAGGGTCACAGCGTGAGGTCAAAGCCTATGCAAAGCTGCACTCTGCAGTGGGTGGAAACCCTCATAACTCCTGTCTGTGGATAGGAGATAATAACGTGTAACAAATATTTGTGCTAGCTGCTAAAGTTAGTGTATGGACACTTATCAATTAGCTAGAAGAAGTTAAAGCAAAATATAGTTAAATTAGAGCATAGTTATTTGTAATAGCTTGAATTAACCAAGAGAGTTTTAAATAAGTAATAATTATATATAAACTGAACACATGCACACACAGTTAAATTCAGTTTGAACACCAGTGAAAGGACTTTGCAACCTAAAATTGGCAGTAAATTAAATAAGTGCAATCTATTTGTTTAGATTTTTGCAAAACCTACTTGACTTCACAAAGTTAAAGCTACCATTACATACGTATGTGTGCACATGCACACAAATAATCTCATGCAGAAACTGCTTGAATTAAATAATCTCTTTGACACTTGGTTATTAGCTAGGTGTGCTTTCTAGGAAAATCATATCGTTTTGAACAAAATTAAGCTTTTGTTTATTAAGTAATTTTTATATTTAAGAAGTTCTATTTATATTAACTATAAACTTCCAGCTCCCTTTCTAATGTTAATGCTACAGTTGTTCAACTGAAATAATGTTATATATTCATTATTAAATTATTATAGTGGGTATATGTACTATATGCATAATAATTATACACCTGACAAATCTAAACAAGTAGATTGCACTTTGTTTAATTTAATGTCTTAATTTTAGATTGCATCTTAGCCTTTTTGCTAATATTCAAATTAGATTTTTGAAAATCCTGTTTTTTATAGTTTGTTTAAACATGATGAAGAAAACATATTGGCTGTGTCCACACGAGCGCGCACGTGCATTTTGCTTCTGAGGCATTGCAAAATGCACCCTGTGCATGTGATTTGGTTATGCAGTGTGGAGCCAGATTTAGATTTAGATGCTGGGAAATCCTGGTATCCAAAAAAAAAAAAAAAAAATGCGTGGGGGGGAAAAAAAAAGCAGGGTGGCACATGTGCCTGTGTATGCTGTCTGAAATCAGAGCTTTGCCAGCCAGTGTCACATTCCAGCTGCTGGCCAGGCTCTGCGCCCAGATTGCTGCTGTTGGAGCCCTGGGAGGCCACCAGGACCCCAGGTAAGACTGCTGGGGCCAGCTCAGTTGCTGCCCCCAGCATCCCCTACTGTACCCAGAGCATTTTTTTTTTCTGTGCTGACCCTGTGTACAGGGACATGCAATGGGGCAAAAAGCAGCAGCATGAACTTGTGCTGCTGCTTTTTCCCCCTTGGCAGCCATATTCCCCTGCTCGTGTGGACATGGCCTTTATCCTTTTTGAGAAAGTTCATTTCTAGTGAACTGTATTATTAAAATATCTTGGTATGCAGTGGTTACTTTATAATTAAGCAGAAGGCAGGGCAGTGTAGCTCATTGAAAGAGGTATGAGCTTTAGTAGGCTGCAGCCTACTTCATCAGATGCATCTAGCAAAGTGTTTTGTGGCCTAGGAAAGCTATACTTCTCAGAATGAGTTAGTGTGTAAGGTGCCATGCTGCCTTGCTTTTTGCCTAACTTTAGACCGGGGCTGTCCAACTGGCAGCCCGTAAGGGACTTCTGTGTGGCCTAAAGGCTCCTGTCTGACTGATGCTCCCCTTGCATGGGGGTCTTTGAGCTGCTTCCTGCTCCACAGCTTCTGCTTTTTGCCTCTGGGGTAGCACAGTGGTAGGGTGTCAGAGCATCTGTGCTGCATGTCAGGGGGGAGCAGGGTTGTTCTAAGTGCTCATGGTGCATGTGATGGAGGTAGTAGCTGGCCACACGGCATGCCTGGCTGGGAATGGGTTGAGGCTGCATGAGCAGCAATGGGGAGTACCTGTACTACATGTGTGGTAAGGGTGGAGAGACCTATGCAACATTTGGCCCCAGCTGCCAAGAAGTTGGACAGCCCTAGTTTAGACTAGCACAGCTAATTACCTCTCTGCTCATATTTTTATGATTGCTCTGATATCAATGAAGAATGTACTTGGTATTTGTTATAAGCTCACATACAACTTTTAAAAAAATTAATTGCCTTGATTCTTTTAGAATCAGACCCTAGAACTACTTATGTCACCTAGTTTGTAAATCTAGCCTAGTTTGTAAATCTTTAGTTATGCTTCAGTGTTTGCTGTGTAAATGATGGAACACTAAAATTTATCCTTTCAAATTCTAACAAGGTGGATGAAATTTTCAAAATGTCTTTGGAGAAATTCCACATGCTTCTATGGATATTGGTTTGCAAAGTGAAAGTAGACCTTCACATGAAAGGCTATATATATACCTATGTGCCAATAAAAAAGGGTGGGTTGTGGACATGACTTTGAAAATACAGTAGGCTTGCACAACATTTTTACAGCTCCTTCCCCAAATTAAAGCAGTGCACACAAAACTGATGCTTAATGTGCGTACAGCAGGGAGCCCAGGTGGAAGCAACTTCCCGTTAACTTAGTCATTTATTCTAGGGCAGCAGCAGCAGCTGGGATGGCATGCACAAACCTTGAATGTAAGAAATAGCCAGAGAATTTAGGAAGAGTTAAAAATTAATTTGAAATGGTAGTAGTGAACAAGGAGAGGTGGGGTTTTTTGATAGTCTGTGTGAAAATTTTGGGAGAGAAGAAATGTTAGAACTGAAACAAATACAAGAGTAAAAAACCTGTATTCAACATGTTGGGTTAACAGACAGCATAGCAGTGTTGTGCATGTGTTTAGAGCAGTGGATGTTTATCCAGTCAGACCTCTTAAGCAGTTGTTTTTTGTGTGTGTGTGTGTGTGTGTGTGTGTGTGTGTGTGTGTGTGTGTGTGTGAGAATTCATTTTTATGGGGTTTGAAAGGAAAGTTGGAGAACTAAAGTTAGCATAATCATGCTGATTGAGTGGTTTTCAGGATCTTGGTATTCCTAAGTCAGTGGGCTGTTTCAGAGCACCTTTGAAGATACCACTGCTATCAGCTTTTAGCTGATGGAATCAACTGCATGGTTACTTAAACTCTTTTTCTATTTCACATATAACCTAATGGAATTTGAGTCTAGGTTTTTAGAATATTTAGTCACTACAACTTGCTTACTTGTGTCCAAGTGGACATCCTGTGTGCACTTAATTTTGGGATCCTGGGTATTAGCCTATTACCTCCACCATCCTGTCTTTGGTAAATCCTTCCTGGAGGAAGCACCTGCAGCAAATGAGGTCACTCAGTTAGTGGGACAGCTACTGTATCCTGTCCTTACAGTGCATATGTGGGCACTTGTCCCTGGCATATGATAACAACTTACTCTGGTACAATAGAATAACCTTTGCAGGTATAGCCATACCTGTTGTGTGTACGAGGTGTCAGGGGAGTAAAAGCTATTTTGTTAACGAATGTGTGTACCCCAGGAGCATGCCTCTGAATCTAGTTGTTTTTATTATGCACAGTTTGCTTTTTAGGGAAAGCTTGCCCATATATTTTTCAGTTGTCTGAACTTGTACATTCCCCTAGCATTAAATTACAAGCAGGTAGAATCTTTGTCTCACTCTCAAGATAATATTTGCATACTGTGTTAGTATCCAAAACACTCTCCTTTTCTGTAATTTTCCTTTTTCTTCTTAATTTAAGAAATGGATGAAATTCAGCCACAGTTTCCTTGTGTTCTAAGACACTAATGGTAGGACCTTTTGGAGCATTTGTCTCTTGTTCAGAATTGTAGATATATTGGAAAGTGATTATGATTATACCAAATCTAACCTATTTCTAAGGCTTAAAAAGATCCTCTGAACAATAAGATTACTCCTTCAGATTAATTACATTAATTTTAATGAAGCTAGTTAGTCTGGTAAGCATATAGAAGCCTGGACTTCGTTAAAGATTTAGAGTTATTACAGTTTTTGGCATTTCTGTGTTTGAGATTAATTGAATCAATATTATGGCTGCCAAAATGTTTAGTTAAGAGGGCCCTGTTTCCAGCCTGTGCTAAAAATAGTGGAGCTGGCAGAAGCAGTACTTTCAAAGTACTATGAGGCCTAGATACTGAATTTGTGTTTGAAGTTTACTTAACATCTGTTCTTTGCATTTGTTGTAGCAGAATATACTTTAAAATCACTTTGTATAATAATTTGGTTCTCTTGAAAGTGGGACACCAAGAAACATGGCTAGAT